GGAGTTGAAGACCAGGCAGGGCAACATGATGAGACCCCATCTCAAAAAAACAAAAACCTAACAAATATTCATCAGATTCTCTCTTCACCCAGCTTAATTATCACTGTGAACTAAGCAACCTTCATGTCTTACCTCCATTATTCCAGTAGCTTCCTCCATTTTTCTCTTCTGCTTTTGCCTGCTCTCTCCCCAATTTGTTCTTGATACACCAACCACAATAATTCTGTTAAATCATACATCAGAACCCGGTTCCTTTGCACAAAACCCTCTGTGACTTCTACTCTCAGAGCCCTTGCAGTGACCGACAAACACCTCTCGATCACACTTCTCCTTGTTCCTCATCTCCTACTACTTATTCCTTCATTTGCTGTGTTCTAACCACAATGACGGTTTTGCTCTTTTTTGAATGTGCCAGGTACAAAAGTATTCCTCCTACCTAGAATGTTGTCTTAGATATCAATTTGACTCATTCCTTTACCTCCTTCAGATCTTTATTCAAATGTCACCTTGGTGAGTCCTCTCTTCACCTCCCTATTTAAATATACTATACCCACTTCCATACTGACATTTTTTTTCCTGCTTAATTTTTCCTATAGTACTTATTGGCTTATAATGCCTATCATAATGCACATAGCATTATCGCACATTTGTTTATTTTATTTCTCATTTGCGTCTCCACTAGAGTGTAAGCTTCATTAGGCCAAGAACCATTTTCTGCTTTGATCATTGCTAAAAACCAGTTCCTGGAACATAGTAGGCACGCAATAAATACACATTGAATGCCTGAAACAAAACTTACCGTAGTTAAACAGAAGAATTTTTAAAAAAGGACATTGGGTCTTTAAAAGTTGGTAAGGAGTAGAGAATCAGGCTTGGAAGCTATCTAACCAGGAATAATGCAGTTTCCGCTGGGAACAGTCACCATTACTGGGACACTCCCCTGGACTTGTGTTCTTACCACCTCCACTGGTTGTATTTTGCCTTATGTCTCTTCTCTTGCCAGAATATTCCATGAGATGCCTTACTTTTCCCATTACTTTATTTCAAATTGTAGCTTCTCATAGATGTCTTCATGGTTGGTTGGTACTTTGTCACATGCATGGGCCCTTACACCAAAGGAGCCTAGGAGAGCAAGTTCCAGCCTTCTACTTTGGGAGGTAGGTTCACAAGGTAGGAAACTCCCAAATATTGGAAGTATGTTCAAAATACACTGTGCAGTCACAAAATATAAATGTTCTTCACTGGCACCAAGTGCTATCATTAAAAAAAAATTAGCTCAGGAGACCTGAAGTTATTTTAAAACTTTATGTGCAATCCAGAATCCATTTCCCATAGCAATTGTTAAACACTGTCTGCTTTCAAATTTATATATTATTCATTCCTGACCTTGTTTTTAAGCTTAACCAATCACATATTTTCTCATTTGACATCCCAGTAATTAATAGCCAAAACTCATTGCCTAGAGGATGGTTCTGTTCCCATTATGGAGTGGTACTCCTTGGCTAGAGTGGGATGAATGAACAACTGAATGCTTTATTTATGGAAAAGGAATAAGAGTGTGAGTCCATTATCAAAATGTAGCAAGGATGTAAAATACTGGGCTGCCATGTTAGAGCTCACCTGTTACCATAAAACACCTCTGTATTCAGCAGCTAGATTGGTGGGAAGCCTGCTGCCCAGTTTGAATGGTATACTGAATTATATGACCAGTCTTGAAATCAGTTTACCATTTTTTCATAACTTTTATTTTTTTTCCTTTCTTTTAGTTTCTTTTATTTTTTCTTGCAAGTAGGAAGCAGGAATGACTGTTCGATTATTAAATATTCAAGTTTAGAATTCACTGTCATTACTGCACAATTCATTTGCTGAAATAACAAGTAGCAGATGCTACAGTGCAAGTTAATGAATAATTCTTATTTGTACTCTGGCCTTTGATTGCAATTCATTTGTCACAGACATGTGGGTTTAGTAATTATTATTCTCACACTTCCTAAAATGTTTTTAGCTTTTTAAAAAGCATTTTGCTCCTTTTTATTTCCTTCTGTTTCATTTTATTTATTAAATTCTCACATTTATCCCAATTGCTTGGGAAGCCTTATAGCTTTTCATGGTTTGCTTCTGAAGGGGAATATGAAATACTTCAATTGATTTGTTCCTTATTGCAAATAAGCCAAAGCCATGGCTTGTTTACCATTACCAGGTTTGTTTGCCATTTCACAGGCACAACTGATGCCTCAGCTTTCAAGGGCATGTTTTCAGCTTGGTACAAACCATGCTTTGGCCTTGTTTTTCTAAAGTCTGCTCATTCCTAACCAGGAAACAGAGCAGGAATGTAATTTTCTTCCCATTCCAGTTTCTCTTTAGCTGCTTGTGTCCAGAAGTTGATATGGCATAGCTAAAACTAATACCAGAATTGACCCAGTTCACCCTCTGTTTTGGAAAGAAAAAAATTGGCTAAAGAGTAAAAGCCTGGTTATTTTTAGAAAGAGAATTAGTGTAAAATGTCATAGAAATATACATTTAATGTCAGACAAAAGTTATTTCCAGCAAGCTGCTCAAAGACAAGAAGAATGCTGGAGATATTAGGAAAAAGTATAGTGAAATTGGTAAGAAAAAATAAGCTGCAATGAAACCTATCTGAAGCATTTAGAAGATGACTTTGCAAGAGGCTCGGAACAGAAAAGAGTAAGAATCTATCCCTGTTTATCTTTTTACCTTCCTATCCCTCTTATATAGATATTGGGGTAAGAAGATGAGGAATGTTGCCCTTTGTTCTCTCTGTGACTAACAATAGTGAGGCTAAAGGGGAGAAGTGGCTTCAGACATGAACAGAGGTGGGGTATGGGAAAAACGATCAGTACTAAGATGTATGTGGCATGTGTGAAGATTTAGGAATTTAAAACACACACACAATTTACAAACAACTCAAGCAGATTTACAGGAAAAAAACAAACAAGCCCATTCAAAAGTGGGCAAAGGATATGAACAGATACTTTACGAAAGAAGACATATATGAGGCCAACAATCATATGAAAAAATGCTCATCGTCACTGGTCATCAGAGAGATGCAAATCAAAACCACATTGAGATACCATCTCACGCCAGTTAGAATGGCGATCATTAAAAAATCTGGAGACAACAGATGCTGGAGAGGATGTGGAGAAAAAGGAACACTTTTACACTGTTGGTGGGAGTGTAAATTAGTTCAACCATTGTGGAAGACAGTGTGGCGATTCCTCAAGGCCTTAGAAATAGAAATTCCATTTGACCCAGCAATCCCATTACTGGGTATATATCCAAAAGACTATAAATCGTTCTACTATAAGGACACATGTACACGAATGTTCATTGCAGCACTGTTTACAATAGCAAAGACCTGGAATCAACCCAAATGCCCATTGATAATAGACTGGATTGGAAAAATGTGGCACATATACACCATGGAATATTATGCAGCAATCAGAAATGATGAGTTCGTGTCGTTTGTAGGGACATGGATGAATCTGGAAAACATCATCCTCAGCAAACTGACACAAGAACAGAAAATGAAACACCGCATATTCTCACTCATAGGTGGGTGATGAAAAATGAGAACACATGGACATAGAAAGGGGAGTACTAAACACTGGGGTCTATTGGGGGGAAAAGGGGAGGGCCAGTGGGAGGGGGAGGTGGGGAGGGATAGCCTGGGGAGAAATGCCAAATGAGGGTGAAGGGGAGAAGAAAAGCAAAGCACACTGCCATGTGTGTACCTACACAACTGTCTTGCATGCTCTGCTCATGTACCCCAAAACCTATAATCCAATAAAAAATTTAAAAAAAAAAACAAAAAACACACACACACATCAATAGTGGCACCATTGATGTTTTTGGGGCATAATTCTTTGTCGTCAGAGAAACCCACTAGATGCCAGTAGTATCCAGTTGTGACAGCTAAAAATGTCTCCAGATGTTGCCAACAGTTGTCCCAGGATGAGAACCACTGGTCACATGATGTGGTTGAGCAGGGGAGTATGGGACCTTGAGCTAGGGGTGGGCAGGTAAGTCCGAAGGACAGAGTTGTGAGAGTTGTAGGGAACATTTCCAATTTCTCCTATGGAGAAATAGGAAGAAGATGGTGGATGAAGGAAATGGAGTAGAGTGTGGGAACAAAGTATGTAAATTCCTAAAAGAGAAGGAAAGAATCCTGAAGGCTGCAATAATTTTTAAGACAGTAGATAAAAAGTCATGTAACATTGAAGGAGAAAGACTTATTTTTTTCTAGAAGGTTGATTTGTATATTTATTGAGAGGGAAGGAAAGTTAGTTGATCAGAAAAAGAAGGGGGAGGTGGGAATGGTAAATGAGTAAAAAAAATAGTTAAAGAACAAATAGGACCTACTATTTGATAGCACAGCAGGGTGATTATGGTCAATAATAACTTAATTATATGTTTTAAAACAAAGAGTGTAATTTGATGGTTTGTAACTCAAAGGATAAATGCTTAAGGTGATGGATACCTCATTTATCCTGATATGCTTGTTTCACATTACATGCCTGTATAAAAATATCTCATGTATCTCATAAATATATACACCCACTATATATTCACAACAATTAAAAATTGAAAAAAAGAAGTGGAAATAGATTGAAAGCTCTCTCTCTAAAGTGGAAATTGGATAGATTTTGCAGAAATAAACTTAACCTCTTATTCCTCTCAGTAAAGGGGCCTATGAAATAAAAGAGAATTAAACATTATGTAGTTCTTATAATTTTCATTCCTTCACTCACTCACCTATATCCTATGTCCCAGGTACTATATTATATACTAGACAGTAAGGATAGAAAGATAGTTAAGAAACAATCCCTGTCTAAAGATGTCCATAGTATACTAGGGTAGACAAAGATGTGTGATCGGTTTGAGAATCTCACCTCAAGAGGCATAAGCATGAAAGTCTCGTAGTTTCTCTTCTTTCTTTTTTTTTTTTTTTTTTTTTTTGAGACGGAGCCTCATTCTGTCTCCCAGGCTGGAGTGCAATGGCATGATCTCGGCTCACCTCTCTCTCCTGGGTTCAAGCAATTCTCCTGCCTTAGCCTCCTGAGTAGCTGGGATTACAGGTGCATGCCACATACCTCACTAATTTTTCTATTTTTGATAGAGACAGGGTTTCACCATGGTGGTCAGGCTGGTCTGAAACTCCTGACCTTGTGATCTGCCCACCTCGACCTCCCAAAGTGCTGAGATTACAGGCATGAGCCACTGTGCATTGTCAAAATCTCATAGTTTCTACGCTTGGTATTTTGTCACACTTCATTGCTTCTGTCTCCTAGGTTATTAAAATTTTCATTCTAGGTATTGAAATTAGTTCCTACTCATTTAAAACATTAGTCTCATATTTATTTTAAAAACTTCTTCTCTGCCCTCCAGAGCAGACTAGACCTGTAGTTCCAACTCTCTTTACACACACCTCTCTTTTTTCTATGTGCCCGCTCTTCCAATGGTGGGGCTGTGAGGTTCAAGAAGGGAAACAGGCAATGCCTTAAATGCCTGACTGTGGCCATGTTGCTGTCTGCTTTCTGTAGGTCATTGTCAGTGAGAATGCATAGGGTTCCCAACAGCCTCACAGAGAACTCAGTATCAAGCAGCCCTGTAAGTTTTGGTAGCCCTTTGCAAGGCTTGCTGCATCTATCAGCTGACTCCCAATTGGCAGAGGTGAAAAACATTCTTCCGATACATAGAAATCCCTTGTCCCTTGTTATGTTCCATGGCAAGTGTGCAGGCCTCAATCTCATGTGCTCTCTGTGATCTCAGGTCGGGCCTGTAGATTCCAACAGGATCCATAGTCCAGATTATCACCATATTTCTCTGTTGTCCCTACCAACTCTCCCCAATTCTCCAAAATTCCTGGAAATTCATAATGAAGGAGCAGTCAGCAAGCTTTTTGGCAGAGTAAACATCCAAATGGGGACTGGAGATATCAGCCTCCTCTTTTTGAAGATGCCCCAAAACTTTATTAATACCATATAATAGGTACAAATGTCCTGAACAGAACACGAAAAATACTAACAATTAATGAAACAAATTGGTAATTTGGACAAATTATTTATTTTTCTTTCTTTGTGAGACAGGGTCTTACTGTCTCCCAGCTGGTCTGGAGTGCAGTGGGGCGATCACTGCAGCCTCAACCCCCTGGGCTCAGGTGATTTTCCCTCCCAGTCTCCTGAGTAGCTGGGACTACAGGTGTGCATAACGCCTGGCTAATTTTTCATGTTTTTTTAGAGACAAAGTTTCACCATGCTGCCCAGGCTGGTCTCCATAACTGTATTTTAAAAATAACAGGGTGGGCGCGGTGGCTCAGGCCTGTAATCCCAGCACTTTGGGAGGCGGAGGTGGACAGATTACTTGAGTTCAAGGTGCCAGACCAGCAGGCAGGCGCGGTGGCTCACGCCTGTAAACCCAGCACTTTGGGAGGCCGTGGTGGGTGGATCACGAGGTCAAGAGATTAAGACCATCCTGGCCAACATGGTGAAACCCAGTCTCTACTAAAAATACAAAAATTAGCTGGGCGTGGTGGCGTGTTCCTGTAGTTCCAGCTACTCAGGAGGCTGAGGCAGAATTGCCTGAACCTGGGAGGCGAAGGTTGCAGTGAGCCGAGATCCCGCCACTGCACTCCAGCCTGGCACCTGGCCACAGAGCAAGACTCTTATCTAAAAAAAAGAAAAAGAAAAAAAGTTAGCCGGCATGTGTCGTGAGCCTGTAGTCCCAGCTAAGTAGGGCTGAGGTAGGAGAATTGCTTGAGCCCAGGAGTTCCAGGCTGCAGTGAGCCATGGTCGTGCCACTGCACGACAGCCCAGACAAAAGAGCAAGACCCTGTCTCAAAAAGAGAAAAAAAAACAAAAAATTAACATTAAGAACTTCCTTCATCAAGACACCAAGACAGTAAGAAAACCCACAGAGCAGGAAAAGAGATTTTATAATACACATCTCCAACAAAGCACTCGCGCCGAGAACACAGAACTCGTAAAACATTAGCAACACTTCCGCTCAAGCCTGGACGAAACTTCCTGTCACGGAGAAGAACATCTGGCAGAATTTCCTGTTATGAGGACCCTCCGGCACCGAGCAATGGGGGCCAAAAGGCTGCGACTCCTCGAGGAAGAGGCCAAGCAGAAAAAGGTAGCCAGAATGGGATTTAATGCATCTTCCATGCTCCGAAAAAGCCAGCTAGGTTTCCTTAACGTCACCAGTTATTCCCATTTAGCCAACGAGCTGCGTGTGAGCTGCATGCCGAGGAAAAATGGAGCTTGGATCTTTCCTCTTCGGTGAGCAACCATTTTAACTCTATCCTGGCGAGTACCAACAGCGACTAGCTCTTCGTAGTGAACCAGATGGAAGTCGAAGGCTCTAAGTACGGCATCATCAGCTTGCGAACGCTGAAGATCCCTTCATTCCACGTGTAAGTGCTCAGAAACCTCTTCGTCCCCAATCGGAAGGTGAAGGCCCCATGCTGGGCCTCGCTGAACCAGTTGGACTCTCACATTTTGCTATGCTTTGAGGGAATCAGAGAAGCTCCAAGCTGTGCCGTGCTGCTCCCAGCGTCGCGCTTCTTAAATATCTACACGAGTAGAGTAAACCAGCCTGAGATGCTCTGCAGTTTCCACATCCCAGTGGCCTGGTCCTGTGCCTGGTCCCTGAACTTCCAGGCATATCACTGCTTTAGTGCCGGCTTGTCTCAGCAGGTCCTGTTGACCAACGTGGCAACGGGACACCAGCAGTCATTTGGTACCAGCAGCGATGTCTTGGCCCAGCAGTTTGTCATTACAGCTCCTTTGCTGTTCAATGGCTGTCGCCCCAGGGAGATCTTTGCCATTGATCTGCATTGTAGAAATCGAGGCAAGGGGTGGAAGGCCACTCGCCTGTTTTATGACTCAGCAGTGACCTCTGTGCAAATCCTCCAAGAAGAGCAATGCCTGATGGCGTCTGACATGACTGGAAAGATCAAGCTGTGGGACCTGAGGGCCACTAAATGTATAAGGGAATATGAAGGTCATGTGAATGAGTCCGCCTATCTGCCCCTGCATGTGCATGAGGAAGAGGGAATCGTGGTGGCAGTAGGCCAGGACTGCTACACGAGAATCTCGAGTCTTCATGATGCCCACCTGCTCAGAACCATCCCCTCCCCATACCCCGCCTCCAAGGACGACATTCCCAGTGTGGCCTTTGCTTCTCGGCTTGGGGGCATCCAGGGAGCAGCACCAGGGTTGCTCATGGCTGTCCGGCAGGAACTTTATTGTTTCCCCTTCAGCTAATTCTGCAGGTGGCAGCGCGGCCGAATGTGAACTTGACTTAAGGAAGTTGAGTATCTTATTACCATTTTTGTGAGAGCATTTTAAGAGACGTGGTGTGTATAGATCCCATCCATCCGGCTGCCAGGGGTAAGGTGTTACGAGTTTTATGTGGAGACATTTCTGTAAAGTTATTTCAGTTAAGTTCTGGATTTAGCTTGAAAGTCCTTCCCATAAAAGGTATCCTATTTCTTCTTGTTGAATACCTTAGAATAGTTGCCCCCCCCGCTTTTTTAATAAAGACTTTTCTAAGGACTGAAGATTGGCAAAAATTAATTAAAGCTGCTGCTTTCACTAGTAGCTCTTTAGAGAAGCATAATGATGAAACTGGTAAGACTCTGACTAGTCATACCGGGGTCTGATGCATCTGTGCTTGAGGAAGCCAGTGGGAGAAGAGAAAAAGGAGAGGTCATTTCTCTGAGTCTCTACAGAAATATTTAAGGTTGGAGTTTGGAATCATTAAATATGGCCTTCTCAAACTCAATAGCAGATCTCCAAAATTCTCCTTTTTTAATTATCTGTAGGCATTGGAAGGAAAGATGGATCTTTTAAAATACTAAACAGTCCTTCATGTGCTTTTGTTGAGGCACTTCTCAGAATGTAACGTACCTTAGCTCCAGTTTCTATTATGGTGACTTGAATTTCAGATTCAAGAACCCGGCTGTCAAAAGGGCTTTGATGTTTTGTAATCTAGGAGCAGCAGTTTGTGAGAGGCTTATTAAAAATGTTAGAGTGTGTTTTTCTACCAAGCAAGGGAGAAAAAAAATAGGTGTAATAATGTTAGTTGCTACTTCTTAATAGCCAAAGCCTGGAAATGATGTGAATTTCCAAAATGCTAAAATTTGTACTGTAATCGTGCAATTGGATACTGCATAATAATAGAAAATAAGGCACAATTGCTATGTGAAACAGTATGGATTACTCGCAACATGTTGATTGAAAGTAGGTAGAAATGAGTACAAACCGTATGATTCAGTTCTAAAGTTCAAAAGCAGTAAAAACTTGTCTGTGGTGATGAAAGGTAGAATAGTAGCTACCTCTGTAGAAGGAAGAAAGGATTTTCTTTTTCTTTTTAGGATGTTTGAGAAGTGACATGGGGAAGCTTTAGGTATGCTGAGTTTATCTTGATAACTTGATACATAATTCATATATCTATATGCTTCACACTTTTATAGTTTACTGTAAATATGTTGTTCCTCAAAAAATAAAAATAAGAAAGCAATTAGGACAGTATTGTAGTTAGTCAGTTAAGGGACAATGATGGCTTTGGACCTGCAGGTGAGAAGTTAGAAATTATTGCATTGGAAGAGCATTTGAAGGTAGTATTATTAGACTTGCTGATGAGAGTAATCTAGAAAGTGAAAGAATATAGAATGGCAGCTTTTTTGTTAACTTCAGAACTGGTAGATGATGGTGTCATTTACTGACACGGGGAGGATGAGGAGAAAAAACTTTAGGTGAAGGGAATGACGCTGAGTTTTAGGAATCTACTAACCTTCAATTGGAGATATAAAGTATTCTGTAAATCAGGGGTCATGACATGACTGGTAATACAAATTTGGTGACTTCAATACATAGAATTAAAATAGATGGGATAGATGTACTTTATATGATATAGATGGGGTTAATACTGTAATAACTACATATTAATAGAAGATAAGTAGATGAACAGAGAAGGTATGGGAGTGTGGTTAGGCACAGATTTTTGGAATCCTTTAAATCAGTTTTTGATACTAACTTGATATGTGACATGAGAAATTGTGTAAGCTTTACTTACTGTTTCTTCAGTGTAAAATGTTTTAGATAATAAAACTAAATCATAAAGTAGATATAGGATTAAAGGATATATACATTGTCTTTTTTACATCGTAAGCATTCAAAATAAAAGAAAAAATTTAAAAATGGGCTGGGTGCGTGCCTCACACGTGTAATCCCAGCACTTTGGGAGGCTGAGATGGGCGGATCACCTGAGGTTGGGAGTTGGAGACCAGCTTGACAAACTTGGAGAAACCCCGTCTCTAAAAAAAAATTTTTAAATTTGGGTTGAAACGAAGGAGAGGATACTAAGGGCAGTCAGAGAGAAAGGTCGGATAACCCACAAAGGCAAGCCTATCAGACTTACAGCAGATCTCTTGGCAGAAACTCTACAAGCCAGAAGAGAGTGGGGGCCAATATTCAACATCCTCAAAGAACAGAACCTTCAGCCCAGAATTTCATATCCAGCCAAACTAAGCTTCACAACTGAAGGAAAAATAAAATCTTTTATGAACAAGCAAGAACTCAGAGATTTTATTACCACCAGGCCTGCTTTACAAGAGCTTCTGAAAGAAGCATTACACACAGAAAGAAACAACCAGTATTAGCCTTTCTAAAAATACACCAAAAAGTAAAGAGCACCAACATAAAGAAGAATTTACACCAACACATGGATAAAACAGCCAGTCAACATCAAATGGCAGTAACCCTAAATTTAAATTGACGAAATTCCCAATCAAAAGACACAGCCAAAACCCAACGGCATGTTACATCCAGACCTGTTTCACATGCAAGGATACACAAAGACTCAAAACAAAGGGATGGAGAAAGATTTACCAACCAAATGGAGAGCAATAATAAATAATAAATAAATAAAAAGCAGGAGTTGCAATTCTTGTATCGGATAAAATAGATTTTAAAGCAACAAAGATATAGTGGTAAAAGGATCAATGCAACAACAAGAGCTAACGATCCTAACACCCAGATACGAGACTTAGACTCAATGAGACAGAAAATTAATAAGGATATCAAGGACTCGAACTCAGATCCAGAACAAGTAAACTTAATAAATATTTATAGAGCTCTCCACTTCAAATACACAAAATATACACTCTTGTCAATACCACATCACACCTACCCATTAGTTTAAATGAAACATTGATTGGCCATTATTAATACCCAATTTTTTTCAAAATAAAGCAATATTTCCATTTACTCTCCCTCTTTCTCTTCCTCTTTCTTCCTCTCCTTTACTTATTTTTTTTTTTTTCTTTCCTTCTCTCAAAAAAAAAGAAATCAACTTGTAAACCTCTAGATCCAGGTCGGCAATGTCTCTTTCATTGCTTGATTTCCTTTCTTCCCTTCCCTCCCTCCCTCCCTCCCTCCCCGCTTCCTCCCTTCCTTCCTTCCTTCCTTCATCCCTTCCTTCCTCCCTACCGTCCTTCTTCCCTTCCTTCCTGCCTTCCTCCCCCCCCCCAAAAAAAAAAAAAATTTTTAAATTTAAAAAAATGAAAAAAATACATTGTAAGCATTCAGTAAGAACTAGCTGCATAGATAGATAGATAGATAGATATGGCAAGTCCAAAAGCAGCTTTGGCAATTGACAAAAGAAAAAATGACTGCATAACTTGATCAGCTGTTTACCCTCACTTGCAAAGAAAACAAAAGCAAACAAATACAAAAGAGGAAAAAAGAAAAAAACTAATCAGAAAAACACAGACACCTAAAAGAAAGTGGGCAATAGTCTTGAATAGGAGAAAAAGAGATCTGAATGGCTGATAAACATCAGAAAAGGCATCCAACTTCATTTATTGTCAAGGAAATGCAAATTAAAATCACACTGCCACATTACTTTCACTATAATGGTAAAATAAAATAGCTTAGGTAGAGTGATCTTAGGAATTAAAAAGAGAAGCAAATGTTGGTGCAGTTGTGAGTAAATAGAACTTTCATATACTGTTGAGAGTGTATACTGGTACAAGAACTTGGAAAACTTAGTAATTGCTAAAGGTAGAAGTTTGCATACTCTATAACCCAGTAATTTCAGTTATTGATAAGAAATGCATACCTGTGTCCCCCATAATTTGTTAATAGCCCCGCTGGAACCTACTCAACTGTTCATCAACAGTAGAATGGATAAATTGTGGGATAGTCACACAATAGAATCCTATATAGCAATAAGAATGAACATAGCAGTATGGATGAATCCTGCAAACCTAATGTTGAAATAAAGATTCCAAACACAAAAGGGCACATATTGTACAATTAATGCATGTAAAGTCCCTAAACAGGCAAAATAAATCTATGTACTTAGAAGCAGGATTAATGGTATACTTGTAGGGTAGGAGAGTAATGACCAGAAGAGAGGATTCTGGGAAGCTAGCAATGCCAGGGTCAGGCCAGACCCCTAGTGACTCCAATAGCAATGACACTGTGTCCAAGAGACCAAAGAAGATATGTGGAGACAGTGAACAAGACTTGGGTTTATTGGGGGAACTTACATATATGGATGGTCCAGTGGTAGCAGGCTGGACAGAAGAACCACAACTGTTTGCAAAAATCATGCAGTTTATATAGCATTTTCATTTAGCACACTCCACCTAGCAACCTCCATTTAACACGTAGCAAAGGACCTTCAGATGTTCATCACAGAATAGTGAAGCTAGGGTTGGTCACACCCTAATTCCTTAGTTTGGGACTCTGAACACATTCATTTTAGATCACAGGGTCATTCTCAGAGTATGCTTGTTATTGCTGTCAGGTGCATCTGTTGTATAGCGAAATACTGGTTACACAGTTTTCGTTCACTAGTGATAATTCTTAGAGCTGTGCCCTTAATATATGTGTCTTCTTCTGTGTGTTATACTTAAATAAAAAGTTAAATTTTTAAAAACTTAGTAAGACTTTCTCTTGCTGCCCCCACCTGTGGCTTTGGGGAGATAATCCACTGTTTACAAATGATACCCTCTCTAAAAGTATTACATTTCCATGTTCTGTCCCTGCTTAATTCCTTTCAAGGATAAAGGTTATCAAACAGGTCAGTCTCTTGCCTCCAGGAATATTTAATAACTCAATTATTCCAGCTGTAATTTGAATCTTGTTCACTGCCCTTTGAGGAAAAGGAGTGTGTGTGTGTGTGTGTGTGTGTAATTTTTTCTCCACCATACCCGCTGAATTGCAAAAGGAGCTATTGAAGAAACTAAGAAGAAGAGTTGAATAAGAGAGCTATGATCCAGGTATTCGGTCTTGACTGGAGAAACATTCTCCTTTTCTTGGATGGAAGTGGCAAACAGTGAACCTAAGTTTAATGGTAGCGGAATACTAAATGGTTATTTGACAAGATAATTGTGACCAAAAGAAAAATCTCACAAGTAATTTCATAGGATAATGTCTGGGGGAAAACCTGTAAGAACAAGATACTCTTTCCTTCTCTCTGTAATGCTCACTCAAGCACATAAATTGATTTGGAGTTAGAGGACCGGAGTCTGATTCCATGTTCTATGACATTCTTGTTAAGTGAACTGTGGAAAAACCTTTGACCTCTCTGAAAAATGGAGATGAGGATTAACAACTTGGTCAGATAACATATCAATTGCATGTTTCACTTATTTTGCATGTTTGCCTGTACAGGAAAATGTGTCTGTGCAGGCCCTTGTTATTTCTGACCATTGTTGTACAGGAAAGATGGGGGTGTGACCAGATAATTCTTACCCATGTATAAGCCACTTTTGTTTTTTGCTTTTTTTTTTTTTTTTTTGTACAGATGGGATCTCACTGTGTTGCCTGTTGCCCAGGCAGCTCTTGAACTTTTGGGCTCTTGCCTTAGCCTCCCAAAGTGCTGGCATTACAGGCAGGAGCCACCTGGCTATAAGCCATTCTCTCTCTCTCTCTCTCTCTCTCTCTCTCTCTCTCTCCCCCCCCCCCATCCCTTCTCCTTCCCTTTCTCCTTTCCCCCTTCCTTTTTCCTTCCCCTCCCCTTTTCCCTTCCCTTCCCTTTCCTTCTTCCCTCTTTTTTTCAAGACAGAGTCTCTCTTTGTTGCCCAGGTTGGAGTGCAGTGGTACAATCTTGGTTCACTGCAACCCCTGCCCTCCAGGTTCAATTGATTCTTGTGCCTCAGCCTCCAAGTAGCTGGGATTTCAGGTGTGTACCACCACACTCAGCTAATTTTTGTATTTTTAGAAGAGACAAAGTTTTGCCATATTGGCCAGGCTGGGCCGTTTTTTTATTGAAGTGTTCAGGTGGGCAAGCTCCCTCCTCCCCCACTCTTAGAGGCAAAGAAAAAAATCCCCTAAATGTGAGGACAACACGTGTTCAAAATTAAATTTGTGTTCTTGGTAAGCCTCATGATAGAGCCACTTTATTTTGTAATGGATTATCTAAGTCAGTTTTCCAGATAACCAGCCAAGTTTGTCTCATGATCAGAATTATTTTCCCAAAGCTATAGACAGAATGAAACCAAGGAATAGTAGTCAGTCAGTTGCACAAGCAAATTTCTGAAAGATGTTGGAACTTCTTCAGAGTTAATGGAAAACCTTGCAGGAATTGTGGTTTATGGTAATAATCGAATGACACTTCACTCTTTTCCTACTTCTATTTCTATCTATCTGACTTAATAGTTCCCTATATTTAGGCATCTATTTATATCATGAATCCTCATGAAAGACAATTTTACACCATGTCGATCACACACAAAATGATACAAAAAAAAATCTGGGGAAATTCTCTCTTAACCTATATTCCAGAAAAAATAAAAAACACTTCATTGTCATTCTAATCTTTTGAGAAGACCTCACGTTTTTTTCTGAAGGCAAGTATCCACTGACTTAGAAAGACTGGTGCTTAAGAGCAAGATCTTTGTGCCTTGGTTTCTTCATCTATATAACTTATTAAAGGTATTATGAATGAGATAATGCCCACCTGGCAATTAGGCAAAGTCTCTTGGTAAGGATGGGATTGAAAGTCAAAGGAAATTCCCCTACGGAACTCTAAAACTGACATTACCTTAAGTTTTAGCATTTAGGGAAGTTTTAAACATTTTCCAAAAGGATAAGTATATCATGATCTGTAGATATAAATACGAAGACAACTTCAGAGTTATTTTAATCCAAGTCTGTTGAGGCTTTATTATGTGATACAGCATTGT